GTAATAGCTTTGTGTCACAAAGTTCCTTTTTTATTCTAAGAATAGCAGCAAGTCCATTGGAAATTTGACTCAGTTTTTATGTTGCTGGAATTTCCTATGAAGTTTTTGTTTGGTTCTTGCAATATGTTTTCAGTAAGAAGTCCTTGGACAGTGCTTTATTTGGCAGTTTTTCTTGGATGTCTAATGTCTCTCTACAACAGAAATGGATCATCAGGTGGATCTGAAGAAGATCTGGGTGAACACAAAGACTTCTGGGGTTTGTTTCTTAGGGAAATGTATTTGTATCTGTTTCAGAAACGTCTCTTGAATGCTGACCAAGGCTGCACATCCCGAGCACCCAAGGCCCAAGCACCTGCACATATGACTGCTTAGGGCTGGGCACTAAGTACAGCCTAAGTACAGCCAAAGTACGGTCTTTCCTGAGAAGAACGACTCTTTTCTGACAGATTTTATCTTACAACAGGGAATGCTTTTTAGCCAGCCAGCATCAAGGAGATATTCCCTCTCTGTCAGAAGACCATTGTATGGGTCTCCTCACTGTCACGTGGACCCCAATACTCAATTTTAAGCATGAAAAGTTGGAGCCATCAGCATTTTTGCAGCAAGGCAGACAGTGCCACGTATGTATGTCCGTATGTATGTTTGTAACACGTCAACCGCAGATCCTTTTACTCAACAGAAAAGTTCAGCCACCACTGTGTTCTTTCTCCTTCCCCATGCAGATACAGCCCTGATGGCTCCCAGGTGGGAAAAGTCACCCAGGAGGAGAGCGAGACGGCCATTCGGAAAGCACAACGCTGCCCAGAGAGAAGGTGGCCCTGAGCGGCTGGTGCGGCAGCGCTACGGCGTGTGTGCAGGCACAGGGGCTATTTACCGTCCATGGCTGACCTTCGTTCCCCTGTTTGTGTCACATCCATCCTGTTGTAGTCAACCTCGCCTCCTTTCAAAAAAAGGGTCTTTTGTGTGCTTATTAACACTATAGCACTGGCTGTTTTCTGATTCTGGATAATAATTGAGAAACTCTAATTACTGTAATTACTATGCTCCTGGGATGAGGGTTTTTTTTTATAATTATTTCTAGTGATTTTTTTTTTGTAAATACTTTGTTACATTAAAAGCATGATAGACAATCATGAGTCCTTGCAGCACATTTATGTATCAACCACCTTCACTGAATTTCATGAGTGCATTTCACCATTTATTAATCAGATATTACTAAATTTCTTCTGCCTCAAGCAAAAACAAGGAGTGGGAGAGAAAGCAACTACTGACAAATGACAAACGATGTGATGTGCCAAGTTTGATTCTGCCAACCAAGTATTAGTACCAGCCCAACAAGAGCAAAGGTGGAGGTGACAGCCAGATGGCACAACTGAATATATTCTAGATCTTCCCAACATAAGTCTTTCAGGAGGAAAGAAATGTTTCAATGTGTGCAAACACTGAAACACTTCAAGAAGCAACCTGAGACTTTGGCCAGTACACAAAGACCTCGATCCAGTTCCCATTGCTTTCCACAGAAAGATCCAGCTCTATCTTTTGGAGTCTGTACTCCAGAGCAGTCTCTTGGAGTAAGCATGATGTCCTCTTGTGTCTATTTTCTGATCACCCCTACACTGGTGGGGTAAAAAGTTTTGTTTCTTCTCGAATAACCCACCAGATTATGCTCTTTCTCTCAGGAAAAGGTGTTGCAAAAAATTACACTACTATCTTCAGTCAGTTTACCACTTACTAACATGAGCATGGTGGCCTCTTGCATTAATATAATCCAAAATACATTATTTTGAAATAGCTTGTGGTCACACCGACATATTTTTATGAGTCTTAGTTTTGCTTTTTACCTGTTAGTGTGTGGTTTGGAAAATTCTGATTCTTGCACTAAAAGGTAGGTACATTACACCATTAATTACTTGTCATTCCCTTTTTGTGAACTTCATTGTGAGTGGAAAGTTGTTGGCCCCAGCGTGAAGAAGACAGAGACTTTTTTCCAAGGCTGCTTCAAGGGCTGCTTATTTGTTTAGTTGTTTTGTAAAAGTTCTTATGTCAACCTAGGCCAATCTTAACTAAAGACTACCTCATCATCTGTTACCAAAGAATTGTTCATGCAACTTGGCAATGATTTTTCTAAATGACTGTGAGACCTCATTTAGATTTTTAATAAACAGTCACATTCTAATGAAGTCTTCATAAAACTGACTAAGTATGTTTAGAAATCATTAGCTTAAATTACCAGTACAAAAGTCTCCTTAGGGAGCCCTGCAGATTTTGTGATAAGACTTCTGGCAGATGGATTAGTATAACAGCACAAGTGAGTTCTGAATTTCCACACAAGCAGTGTAAATGTGAGCGACCGGGTAACAGGCTACTAGACAAAGAGCTAAATGTCCCTCAGGTGGGTTCATTAAAGAGAGAAAATCAAAACCCATTTCTGTGCCATTTAACTACCAGGTGCTCAGCAGTCTGCAGGTGCCAGAAACACTGACAAGGGTCCCTTGCTGGAACACACAAGAGCTTACGGGGACGCGCGGTTTTGACAAGCGTGCCTCAGATAATGACAGATATTGGCAGACAGACCCGGACCCCGCTGGAGGGTAATGTGAGGACGGAGTCATTTGCAGCAGGTGCTTGCATTAGGGACAGCCTCATGGCGATTCCCCCATCCACAATTAAAACAGTCCCGATGCATAATGCTCCAGGGCAAGAAGCAAGCTCCTAGCACTGATTTAATGAATATCCAGCCAGTCCTGGTAAACAAATAACGCGTACGCCCCCTCAATGATTAATTCATGAAGGACGTACACTGTGTGGCAAACATGCTAAACAGATATTCCTCTTTCCCGAAAATACAAAGGAATTTTCCTTCTTGGCTTACAACGGGTCAAGAGGGTTAAAAAATAAAATAATAACCCCCTACTAATCTTATACCAGCAATAGCAACTGAAATAGAAAACCTCAAGGTTGGGAAGGTTACAAGGTTTGCCTTTCCAAAAGGTCCATAAAAATCATTACTAATCAAGGAGGCCCAGAGCTGGTGTTAGGGGGTGCGGGACAGATGGTGTGTTTGCAATGTGCCTCCTTGCTGCTGATGGTTCCAGCGCTGGGAGCGGGACAGAAGCACCAGCGGAGGGGTGACTGCATTGTTCTGTGGCTCACACGATCTCATTTCCATTAAAAGCTGATTTCAATTTCTGCTCTCTGATCTCACCTATGTTGGCCTCCAGAGGAAGTGAGAACAAAGTCATTTCTACCACTGCCAGAAACAGCAAAGCTGCAGATCTGCATCCCACTAGAACTCCTGCACCCTGAAGAAATCTCCACGGTGGCACAAACTGTTGCTTGCTGCTCAGGGAATGTGCTGCGTACCTACCGGGTGGGAGCTGAGCCTGCCAACGCTGGCCCCAAGACCGGCATCCCCCTGGCTGACACCTGATGGTCCACCCTAATTGACACTTTCAAATACTGACTTTAGGAAAACAGTATGTGGTTTCATGCAGTCTGCTATTTTTGTTCTAAGGCTTGTTTATCCATACCCTGAAAACATCCTTTTTTATGTTGTGTGCTTGGGTACTTACAAATGTGTATAAAGCTTTAATGCCGAGGTTTGCTGGAGAGCTTCCTATTCTTACAAATCCATCCATTTGGAATTGATAGGTGGCCATCCTCCTATTTCTACCTTCTTCCTCACTCAAGGGACTGAATTTTTAAAGCAGCGTCCATGATCCTTTGTTGTCTCTGCAATTAGTCGTACATGTGTTCCTGCAGCAGGTGTTAATTGCAGTCACAAATCCCATCTTTGTTATATCTAAAAATAATAACTGGCACCTGATCTGTTGGCAGGCTTGGGCATACAGATATCTGAACATTAGGATTTATATTAACAATTGACAAAGGATATAAGGAAGAATAAATCGAGATCATAAAACTGGACTTGCTAAAGAGGAGACAAGATCCGACACTTTGACTCACACCACACAAACAGTGCTCGCTCTCCTCAGGCAAATGCCACAGGGCAGAGGGGTATCACCCACTCCACCAGTGTGAAATTAAAAACACCTCTTAAAACCACGTGGCTCCCACCAAGGTGTGTGCACTCAACTTCTTATTTCAACACTTCGATTTACAACCATTGCAGTAGTTGCAATAAAAGCAGTGGGTTTTTTCATTCCAAATGAAAGCTATATGTCTGGTTCCTAAGCAAATTTTCTTGAAAAAACCACCCTAGATGAGAATTAAGACACCAGTGCATAGACAAAGCAGGAAATTAAAAGACTCAGTTATTGACAGTTGTGAGAAACAAAGAAAGTGGTTCCATTCAATACTTGTTGAAAACAAAATTAGCCATAATGACTCGAGTAGGAGGCTTACTTTAGAAGTTATCAAGCAAAGAAAGAAAAGTACACAGTATCAACCAGGTAACTCAAGCTTTCCTTTACTACTCAGCTCCTGAAGAAGACCTCCTGGTCAACGAATTCAGTACACAAGCGAGTAAAGCTAATTTTTTCTGGTTTTGTTCAGAAGGCTTACAGGAAGGAAAACCCAAACAAATCAGGTTGATTTAGACTCATATACTATGAAGAAGGTGCAATTTCATAGTTTAACTACTTTTCTCAGAAATCTGTTTCAGAATTACTCCTCCTTAGCCTCAAAAAAAAAAAAAAAGATGACTCCATACCTTGTTCTGTAACCAGTTCCCTGGTTTCCCTCAATAGAAATTGTATGTCTGAGAGTTACACAATGACGCTTTCCCTCTTTGGCAGTCCTGGCAGGCTGTGCTGCACAGAATGCAGCTTTATCAGTTACTCTTTCATTGTGCTAATATTATCAAAGCCAAGCATCCCAGGCATGTTTAAAACAATTGATAATGAACCTCTTAGCACAGGCAGCCATAAATATTTTATGTGCTATACTCAGTATATAAGCATTTTGTTGGTCCACTATTTAATTTCCAAAAGCAAACACCTTGGAAGTCTTTCATCTTTTTAAGTACAAAAATCACTTACCCTTCCCACTTCTACGAGATTAGTAACCATGATTATGCTGGCTGTGTTTTCATGCCATACCATTCTCCAAAAGTCATATATTGTCTCCTGCATTGGTCCTGAAACAATAAATCAAATGAAAGGTTACTATCTGAAAGTCTCATGATTGGAAGCTTGTCTCTGGGGAACTTTGAGAAACTGTGACTAAACACATATATTCATATCACTATCATCATATTTTTCATTTAGGGTCAATTCCTTTTCTGTCATGCCACCTATCTGCATTTAAGTATTTTTCCCCTGAAATAGTGCTCGGAAAGAAAGTTAGTTCTCTAGCATTTAGGTATTTATCTCTGTAATACCCAGAAGTGGAATTATAAATAATAGGTAACATTACTCTTTCTCTTAACAATTGGATGATAACCTAGGGAAGGTGTATTTGGAATGAAATGAGCCTCAATGGACTATGTGGCCTTTCCCGGTTTCTAATATTTTTCTTAGTATACACTATCCATCAAATTACCCCAGCTCCTAAATTGTACTTCCTGAAGTGAGACAGAAGTTATAGTTTTTTGCTGCAGTGTATCACTTTGCAAAACAGCAGGGAAAGTGGTGAAGGACCCTGGCATGCCACGGCAGCCACGTCCTCTGCAGCGCTTTCCCCAACAACCTGGGCGCTTTTGTAGACGAACACACCGGGCTGCCTCTAGCGTCGTGCTAAAGCTGGGAACCAGCCCACAGGAAACGTAACAGAAATGGAAAAAGTCGAGAACAACCACATCACTTTGTGTGTGCCCGGCCCTCTCTGGTTCTAGCCTACATGTCTTACCCATCACGGTTGGGTGTGCCACCCCAATTTTAAACCACTGCTTTAAAATCATTGAGCCAATAAGAATAAACAAATGTAAAGTACTATTAGGTACTATAAACTTCACATCCATACTGAATCTATTAGTGAACTGCCACACTGCAGTAAGCAATTAGTGGCTTATTTAGAGAGGTGCCTTAAATCAGCTAACTGGAGGACGAAGGGATAATGTCTTGGCCTAAACGCTCCTCTAGTGAAAAAACCAACACTCTTAAGCATTACAAAACAATACATTGACAGATTTGGGTAGTTTGGCACCCATGTTTTGGTACTTTGAGCTCCCTTTGAAAATAAAATTTTCATTCTGAAAGTCAAGGAGTTAGTGAAAAATTTAGTAATACATTATTGCTATATTATCATGGCAGGGGGGTTGGACGAGATGATCATTGAAGGTCCCTTCCGACCCAAACCATTCTGTGATTCTATGACTTTGTGATTCTATGATACTATAGGCAAGTCAAAACCAACTCACTAGGCAAATAACGTCACAGTTGTGACATTAACTTACTCAGAACTCAAGCTGAAGAAAAAGGATGGTAATAGTCTAAAACTTTTGAATTTTAAAAATCGATTTTTATTTTCAGCAATTTCAAAGGATAATTTTATCACCCATAATTTGCATAGACCATGTAAAGAAATTACGTATTCTCCCCCTTACTTTCTTTGCTTTTAAAAATGCTGCATATATAGTTAGTTTCACAGGTTCCCCTATAGTCATTCAACTTGCCTTTTACTTGCTTTGGTAGCTCATATAACAGGAGAAAAAGCCATTTAAAACAACAGGAGGCTATGACTGTTAGAACACAAGAAAAGTCAGAAGGTCTCAGAGTAGAAATAACAGCAGAATCTAACAACTACAGTTTCTGAAATTACCAAATTCAAGCTGATGTTGTGGCTGCAAAACTGGACACATTTTTTTTCTTTTAATTGACGATGCAGAACAGTTGATACTTTCATGAGATTTCATTCTGAAGTATGACAAGAGTTAAGTCACTCTCCACCACAAGGAAATGTACAGTAAGTATTTTACTTCTACATAAGTGTCCTGGATATGTAATACAGACATGATCCAAGTGAAATTTTGAATGTCACAGTAAGATAATTCATCAACATTACAGTGAAAGTTTAGCTTGCTTGTGTTTCAATAATGTAGGATTCAATACAGCTTTTGGGAGAAATAAAGTCATGACAGCCATTAGAAAGATTTTGGGCCAACCTCTCCTACTGGGAAAAGAAAGGAGACTATTTTACTCTATATAGTAGGAAAATACTATCTCTGCATAGCTCCTTCCTTCCTCTCAAATCTCAAACAAATATTCAGCAAAATTACTATTGCTATCATCTTTGATGGCGCGTAGCTAAAAATAAGATTAGAGAAGGGCAGTTTTCCACAGAGTAGTGTCCTGGAAAGAGTCTGCAAGTTCATGACACACTATTAAGGTTATTTACGCTTGATCAAGGACAACAAATAACAACACTATTGCTTCAGGAATCTTGATTCACAACCTGGTTTAATGGAGAAAATCTAAATGGCTCCACTGCAATCTGTCACCACTGGATATTGTGATGTTCCAGGACTGTTCATCTGAATATGTTTTCGGTAAAGCTGCAGGAAAGGCGAGAAAAGATCCTCTGTCTACACAGCCCTCTTCTTTTCCTCTTGCAAGAAGACTGAATCTTTGAGAAACTGAGGGGCAATGAAGCAGGTTTCTTTACGTATTATTTCAGTTTTCTTTCCTACAGATTCACTTGAGATACAAGATGGTTGGGCCCTACTTTGTATCAGTCATTTCTTTTTGACAGCTCTGGGATAACCTGCAACAATTTATTCCTGATTTTTTTTTTTTTTCTACAGACAGTATAATTTGTCTCGTGATTTAAAGATTCCTATATTTCAGATCCTGCAATCACCAATTACAACTGAGGAGAGATACCAAACATCATTTTTTTCCTGAAGATTTTGGATTTGTCAGTCTTTATAAAGAAAAAAAAAGATAACAAATTACAAGAAAAACAAATATTTAGAAAAGTAATAGCATTTTTCAGGCCAGAGAAAGAGCTGAGCTCTGACAAGTCTGTCAAGCTTGATTCCAAATGTTCTTCTAGAAGAAATGTCCTATCCTGCAGTGCTGAGTGCGCTCTTCTCAGTCTTACTATCCAAACAATAAGACAATCATAATTAAAAGTGCCTGACAGGATCTCTTGCTCTCCTCAAGTCCTCTCCCATTCTTACATGTGGCCTCCAAACTTCTTTCATGTTCAGGACACTGAAAGGAAAAAACCCACCCGAAAACCTACCTTAAAGTCTCAGAAAGTAATTATTTTCTACCCCATTTTTCTTTTCTTCTTGACATTTTTCAAATTATTTTCCAACATATGAATAAATTATTACTTGTCTCCAGCCAGAATTGAAAAGCATTAGAGGCCAGGTAGGGCTGGAGGATTTACTGTCAGGAAGAACTGAGCAATTGGATTCCAGAGACTCGTGGCAGGGAGAGAAAGAGCCTGCAACTGTTCTGAGCATCAGCTTTACCGCTGTGTGCACCATGGGCAGGCAGGTTATTCCCAGCAGTTGCCCCTTTGCGGAGGGAGAAGGTCTGAAGAGAAGGTTTTGTGCTGCCTCACAGAAAGCCTGTGGCGTACCCCATTAGCTACACAATACAGTAGTTGGGATCAAAGATTTCTGCTGTGAAAAAAAGAAATCAACAACATTCTGCAACCAGAAGATGAAATGCAAAGGAAAATATGAAAAAGAAATCAACCCTCCAAACCCCAGGCTAATTAAATGCGTTACTGAAAAAACTCAACAGAAATGATCGGTTGTACATATCACAGCCATTAGTTGTATTACCAGTAGTTGCTAGTTGCTGCTCTGGGAACACAAACATACTAGGAAACAGAAAATCACACAGCTCTTAAGGATGGTTTAAACTCTTAAGAAGCTGCTTCTGTACCCAGAGCTTTCTCGAGCCTCTATTTCTGCTTGTTACTGTGAGACCCAGTTCTGACAACTGGTATTGCTACTGGGGTATGTGATCAATTTGAACCTCATAAACTAGCCCAGAATGCAGGGAAAAGTGTTCAGATGTAGGAAAGAAAGCAAACACACAAAGAAACAAGTAAAACCTGAATCCTGAAATGTCCCCAGCACTTACTCAGATGGGACTTGTAAATCTATGGGTCATTTTTCAATTTCTAGAAAAGCAAGCAGCTTAAGCGATGAACAAATAGCTTCTAAAACGTTTTTTCTAGTGTAGAACGTCAAATCCACAAGCTAATGTTTGGTCCACCTGAGACCAAATTCAATGATAGATATTAAAGATAGAAATGTGCAGAGAATGAACAAATCCCTTTAAGCTCCAGAGGTTCCCCAGGGATAGTGCATGGGCAGCGGTCGCCGTTAGCATGTGTCGATCGAGGCAGCGGACTGACAAATGCAAGACTTTTATCTGCAGCAGCTAAATTCCAACTTGAGAAGAGTGCAATAAACCTCCTTCCAGGGAGCAGACGTGAGGAGGTGGTTATAAAATGGTTCCCTCGCCTAATGGGTACTGCAGTTTCTAGGAGCAATGATAACCGTCTTCTCTTTTGACTGAAGCAAAACTTGCTGCTTGCTATTGTGCCTCCCAACAACTTGACCATTCAAGGACAACTTGCTAATATGCCTGCATAGAGGGAGCTGCATTTTAGCCCTCATTCCTTATGATGTATGATCCCTTCAAAATGAACTTGAGATGTAGTACATGTCTTCTTATTAACAGATATGGCTGCATGGCAAAAAAAAAAGGCAAAAAGCAATGATCCCCTTTGCAATGACACTGTCAAAAAAACTCTACAACCACCATATAGCAGAAATTGTTAAAATACACATGAAAGTGTAAAACCAGAGATTAAAAAGAAAAAAATTACTGGGAGAACAGGCTACAAGCTAATAGGTTAAAAAGTTCAAGAATTCTCCTTTTCCTAATGAACCTCTCAAATGGGACAGACTAGCTGTTAGTAGGATAACTTACAGAGAATTTCACAGGAGGAAGCAAAATTACAGGGTTACTAATGCTCTGTCAGTCCAGTGATCTGATAATCCATAAATGCATGTTATTTGCTCTTTCAACCACACTAGAATTCAGAGGTAAGAACAAAACGTCCTTTCAGAAAAAATTATGTAGAAAACTGCAGTCAAATGTTACTTCAAACTCTAAATATCACCGACTGCAGGCAAGGGAATATATCCCTTAACTAAAATACATTTTT